AGCTGGAGGGTTGCCCCACACCCCACCACGGGTAGGAAGGGAATCAAATGCTGTCTCACTTTGGAAATCAGTCTCATCTTCATCCCCTGAGCTGAATATTCGTGTGTCATTGTCTGAGCCAACCAAGGTGGAAGCCGGGTCAGAGGTAGCTGCAGAAAGTCTTTGGCTTTTGGGGCGGCTCGAGCAGGAAGAAAAAGTGTTTCCGGAGGGATTAAGCGACTGCTCCCCTGATGATGACCGGGATCTGGGACCTAAAGTTAGGTCGCACCAGATCTGTCCAAGGGGAAATTCGCCACGGAGTTCTGCAAATTGCGGGCGCCGGCGGAGGCGAGATTTGGGGGAGTTGTTTTCTGAGACTATAGGGTTAAGCTGGTTGAGAGTAAATTCTATTGGCGAAGAAGACGATCGACGCCTGAATAGATCTACATCAGTGACTGGTCTCCTTTTCCGAAGCCGCATTGAGTTTACACCTAACCCCTCAAGTTTAGCGGCTAGATCGTCCGAGAGCGAATCGGGTTCTATGGAGCACTCCTTAGGGAACGAAAACCCACGACGGCGCCCCAGATTTCCCTGGGCTGATGATTTCCATGAAGCCGGCGAAGTTCCTGTTTCTCTTTCACCAACAGAAAGGGAGTGCTGCGGACTCCGCTCACCTATTGGTATAGGTTGAGTAGCTGAGTCAACTGGAATTGTGTCATTGTGGTTAATACAAGCTCTAGTCTGGTCGTGTCTATATGTGTGATTGGGGGTTTCACGGGTTATGGAGGATGAAAGAAGTAATGTAGGGACAACACCAGGTTCGGGTACGAGTCGACGAGGGGAACGATCTCTATGTCTTGCGGACGGACGCCGTCTAATCTCCGGAGAATAGGGATATTCAGACCGGAAGTATGGTCTCCAAGTCCCATTCGTTGAATCAAACGTTTCTGACGGCGTCTGTTTGGGAGGGTAAAGGGGGGAATATGGAGGTTCCAATTGCATGCGGCTGTCGGTGGACGACTGTTGTCTCATATTTGCAAGTCTTTGGTGGCTAGTGGCTGGTCGCCGTAGAATTGGAGCGGGTGCTGCGAGAGATCCGGATCCCGTCCCCTGCAAATGGGAATTTGCTAGGACACGCTGTGATGAGGATCGTTTAACCAACTTATTGGGTGCTTGATCCATGCGAAAAGGAGAAGAGAAGAAGGGACTCGTGGACCCACTGAGAGATGGCGAGTCCGGCCGCGAGCCTGAGAGAGGGCTGTCGTTTTGAGATGAAGATATTATGGAAAGGCGCCGTAGCCAAGATGAAGACGGCCTTCCCGTAGGGGATGCTACTAGAGGCTCAATTGTAGAATCATCACCAGACATAACAGACAAAGGGAGGGGCCCCACATAAGTTCGACGACGCGGACGAGTCCTTGGGGCTTCTTGTGGTATATCTTTCACCGGATGTGCTGTATCTGGACTGCTCCTTGAGAAATCATCCACTGGCTTGGGAGGAGGAATATGGGAAGTTGCTGGCCTATGCGCATTGGAAGACGAACGAGCAGTCAATGCGTCAGCCGGGGGCGACGACATATCTAGGACACGGGCCAAAGGAGAAGAATAACTGTTTCGAAAGATAGAACGTCGCCGCTTGGGAGCGGGCGGTGGAGGTTGTGGTTGGCTCGCCTCGTTCCTGCCCAGGGCAAAGCCCGTGGCGGCGATTCCAACTGTGCCAATTGCACAGAGCTGTAGGTCGCGGTAAGAGTAATCAGCAGGGAGTCTAATGTGCGAATATATGTATATTTGATGCATATTGAGTGTACATATTGCGTTGCGTGTATTGTGTGTGTGCGTGTACGAGATACACAGATTGATTGATCAGGGGACAAACAACCCACGGGTGACTGTCGGTCAAGATTCCACCAACACCGCCAAAAACACACCACAAACAACAGCAATAGTAGTAGCAGTATGGAAAATGTAAACATAGCAAAGGGCAATTGGGAGGAGGCCGAAATGGAGCTCACCGTCGACACATGTTCCATTTCTTGCCTTGATTACACGGGAGCGCGGTCAAGCACCAAGATAACGCTCAGCTGGCAGCCTCGTCGTCGGTCTAGGAGAACACAGATCCATCACACAATATTATATTGAGCGGAGGTAGCTGGAGGAGATGTTACAGTAGCCGCGGGAGAGACAAGAGAACGAATGAGGAGTGGATGGTTCGGCTGGTAGGCTGGCTAATCGTTTGTTTTGTTTGGGGCGGCGGTGGTAACGACAGACACACACGGAGGAATAGTGAAGTCAGGGCAACGGGGAGTCGACGACAAGATAGATGCAGCGAGGCACGAAAGGATGAGAGTCCAGGAAGAAGATCCCGGGGGGCGGCGATGCAGAGGAGAGCGGAGAGTGGCAGATGGGACAACAGCTGAAGTATCCTCTGGTTCTGTCCTCTGGAACTGGACCGCTATACTCCTCCAGGGCTAGGGGGGAGGATGGATCTCTCCAAACAAGAGATCCGCCACGAAAAACATAAACAACACGCTAATAGTGCGCGAATTATCCAGGGTATTTCTTTATTGTTTATTTATTGACTGATTTACTCATCTCCTCCACAACATACGTCCACAGCATGTGTGTATGTATGTATGTGTTTACCGCTCAGCTATTGGGAATAGCACGTTAGCGATGTGATAAGAAAAAGAAGTGGAGAGTGAGAGGCTGGTATTTTCTTTTTCCTGTTATGGTTGACACCGCCAACTTGCAAGGGATCATTGCTGTATCCTGCGTAGCCCTGCGATAATGACCACTGTCACTCTGACCATTGCTCTTTTGTTATCGACAAATTAATTCGGAGAAGCGATGCCGGGAAAAACAAGTTTAGATCCCTCAACTAATTTAATCTAACCAACTATATGTCTATACATCTCTCTCTCTCTCTCTCGCTTTTATGGATGCATATAAGCACACCTGCGAGCCGGATGCAGCTTCAGCAGCCCCTTCCATGATTCCATCTAGAGATGTATATGGTATATACTCCACGGACAGTGCATTGGCAGTTTATTAATTATCGACTGTCTGTCACCATCACACTTGTCGACCACGCATATCGCTCATATTACTGTGATACGGAGCAGACGTGCATCCAGAGAACCAGGCGTGTAGACTCAAATAAATCGATGTTGTTTAACTGCCCCCGGAGTTGATTAGTGAGTACCTAGTTATATTGTTACGATAGCGTAGGGGGAGTTCCATTGACTTTTTCTAAAAATACCGGTAATCGATCAAAAGAGAGTGTGTGAGAAGGTGGGGGAGAGCAACTATCACGATCTTCCCCCCGTAGCTTGCTTTCCACTTTGACTTAGGGGGTTCCTGGTGTGAAACCAGATAGGATTCGAGCAATGCCTACAGGCCGGGAAACTTGCCATGTACTGTACATGAAGAATGCCAACAGGTACACTCCCGTATTGGAAGTAAAAGTAAAAGAGTTATTCTATCTTTCCTTTGAGTTTCCGCCCCTGTCGACAGAAGGAACAGACTGGGTGTTTGTTTACCTTTGGTAAATAAATAGCCTCGGAATAAAGTTGCCATTTACTTAACTCTGTTTATTTTTATCGGTGGTCTACGCGCAAATTAAGGTATACTACTGGTAACTTCAAAGGGGTATGTTCTCCTTTGGTAACCTATCACCTTCATCTCCCATCTCATAATCCACTGTACTCCGTACGGAGTACCGGTTGCCGAATTCTGATCAGGGCCTCGGGACAAGAACTCCTCAGTTTCTAAGCCTCGATGCTACCCCAAGGCTACTTCCTGCCCTGAATCCTTCGAAAGATCATCGCGGATGAATAGCGAAGCAGCCTCTCTCTGGGGTGAGAAAAAGTTGGACGGGAAAATTAGTAGACAAAACCCTTGGGAACAATAACAGGGTTTCCGAGTTATTTCTACGAATTAAGTGCTGGTATTGCCGATTGTAAATATCAAGGATCCGCCATTATAATGCTGGGGGTTTGACTGTCGGCCCAAGGAACTGACCCAGCGACGGCACCAAGTTAGTTGCAAAAATTTTCCTGGGATTACTCGCCTTTTTGTTCCCGATGAAAAATAGCAGCCTTTTTATTGGAGGCTCCAGGCGCCCGCTTGAGAATTCTCTGTGTGGTTTCTTTGCTTTGAAGAAAAAAGAAGTAATCAAAATTCAATCACCTCGCCAGGATGTTCAAACTCTCGTCCGTTCCCCTTTGGGGCTGCATGGATAAAGTGCACTCACAGACAGACCATGATTCATAATAAAAGTTGATCTGGGCGATTCCTGCTTAGAGTTTCGACCAGGACTGAATATCTTGGCTCGGGGAGGGGTGTGGAGGGGCGTCACCTATTGATATCCTCAGCCTCCTTGGGATGAGATTTATGGAGACGTTCTGCGCACCGGCTTTGATCCAGCAAACCAGTTGTGAAACAAGGAACCCTGCCGTGATACTCATGCTACCAGAGACGAACAGAACTAGGTTAGCCAACTTCAAACCAGGGGGAAACGGGCGGAGAAAGAAGGCAAACAGGAAAAGCGAAAGCAAAAAACTCTCCATGCAATAATGGAGTCAAAAAGCATGAAAAGATGGGGCAATCAGAAACTGTTGGGTTCATCATACATATTTGCTAGTCGCACCGCCCTTCACTTCTTTGCATTTCGCCTGCTGTCGTGAGAGCGCCAGGATGAGATGCGTCTCTGCTTTTTCGGCACACGATTTAATACGTGTTGGCAGGGGGAGCTGTTTGTAGGTTTTTTTTTTTTTTTTCGGCTCTTAATATTCGGTGAGAGCCTTTCCCCCACCATTGCTAACCCACAGATCGTATTATGTATATGCGTCTGTTCTAGAATTAGCGTTAGTCTTTTCAGCTGGCAAACCACAGCAAGATTGTCATGGATGGCTCCTCCTGCACTGGCACATTGGCCTGGAGGCACTATCTGCCTTTCCAATTTCTATTTCCGCTAAGATGATCTAACAATGCTCACCGGAGGATGAATGCAGTTTACTCAGTTTTCTACAAAAGGAGTCAGGCAACAGAAGGATTATTTACTGTTGAATGTCTGAGAAATGTTGAACAGGAAACTCAGTTGTCATCATTTGATATCCATATCATTGATCTTTATTTCTTTCTTGATAATTTCACATGAGGCTGGGAGCAAGCTGATGGATATTGGTATAAAAATGTTATTCATCTATGAATCAGTCTTCTCAGATCATTTCATGCTAGTTCATGGAAAGGAGGCACCCGTTGGCGCCCTTATTCATGGCAATTACCTGGATGAGTTTTATCAATTCAATGACATTTACCCATCCACTGAGTTATTGGAGAAACAACACACAGCATTGTTGAAAAGGGTGATGGAGAAAAAACTGCTGTCTATATATCCACGTTCATTTGCTCTTACCAACCACCCTGCAACAGCAATAGCATGCAAATTATCTGAGAACGCAAATCCACGAGACAGATCATTTCCATTCCCAGGCATTTTGCCCTTTCCTCCTCCAAGACTCGCATGAATGCCTCCAGACACTTGAGATATTGGGCAATAATTTTTGGTGGTGGCCCATCGCATGTCCAGTCCGAGGTCCCAATGACAGGCCTAAATCTTAGATATCTTGCAAAAGCCACCACGACACAGAGCCAAACAACCGGGCAGCTTCAATGTGTACGACTGCAACTATAGTGGGGTTGTACCTGTTACAGACAACAATATTTGTCAAGCTGAGGCTATTGCAAAACCTCTTAAGCTTACTAGAAAGGCATGTCGTTACCTTATCAGCTTGACTGAAGAATTATTTCGCGAAGAAACCCGTCTTTACCGCAATGTTTTCCCGTCACATCCCCTGTCGTTGATTCCTGCATTGCCTGGGAGGAAGAGACATTGCCCTTCTACGAGCATGACCAATACTATCCAGTCCGATTCTTGTGAAGTCTTATAACACAAGGTAGCGACTTGTTTGGAAAACTAGGTTATGGCGCCCACTCGACGGTATGGTTTTGTCGAGACTTGATGTAAGCAGAAAACAACAGGTAGTTAACTGAAGAAGAAAAGTGATGGAAGATTGACAGCTTTTCTTGATTGTCCCTCAAACTGACCCTTGACCAGAGAACAAAAGTATGCGGCACTGGAAATTTCAACTCAGCTGAAAAAGGTCACCAAGAAATCTCGCGCAGGACTCAATATCTACAAGCATCTAAGTAAACTCAACTCTCCCCATCCAGGCCAGGGATGTATCCGCGAGTTATACGACAAATTCGAAATTCCAGGCCCTCTTAGCAGTCATTAGTGCTTGGTGCTACAACCAATGCATATGAGCTTGCATGATCTGATACAAAAGTATAGACCTCTAGAGGTGCCTATGCTGCTGGAGATGTTGAGGCGGCTCATCAATGTTCTTGATTTTCTTCATACGGGGGCCCATATTTTTCCAGACCGGTATATGGCCTATGGTTGGTTTTGTGATAGAGAACAATGACTGGGGATATCTGGCCCTATGTGGTTTGGCGAGGCTAGGATTGGAAAGATTCAGCAGGACACCGGCCCGTTTGTTCAGCCACGCATTTATAGCGCACCAGAAGTGGCATTTGAGATTCCTTGGGGCGCTTTCCGTGGTTATATGAAATGTTGCTACGCCTGGTAAATAGGCGCTGTCTTGCTCGTTACATTTGTTGTTGTTTGGTGACACTAACATCTTCCCTCTAATAGGTTTGGGATCTACTCGACGGAAGACACCTATTTAACAACATTGGACGAACAGGGTCATTACGATCCATTCAAACACACGACTCAGGCACACGGCTCAGGTAGTTCCTTTGCTCGGACCACCACCTAAAGAACTCATACTACGAAGTGAAACAATAGGACAGTACTTTGATGCTGATGGTCAATTCCTTTCATGTCTCTCTTACCTCTTTGACCATGAAACCCGGAGCTGACTCTGCAACTCAAGGCAACTGGTAAGCAGGAAAACATGTGGAAATATCTGATATTTCCTTCGAACACATTGAGACGCGATTAGAAGACAATGGTAAGGTCCGCTTTCTCAAATTCATTCGGTCGATGCTGAGCTGGCTTCCTGAGGGTCAAAAGACGGCTAAGGAACTCCTTGAGGATTCTTGGTTGAATGAAGAATCGGTGTGAATGGGCCTTGGGGGTGCCAGATATCCATCCTGCCAGCGTACCTTTCAACGAGATGGTGGATACAACTTTCTTTGATCCCCAGGAAGCATCGTGAAGTGATAGCAGATCTCTATGTAGATAACTACCCACATACGTATCATGCTCTCATTATCGTAGCCATCATTTATACTTCACAGAAAATATTCCACAACAGTATTCCATGGTGTCGCATAAACAAGGACACAAAGCGGCCCGAAACATTATATACATAGAGGATCAGGCAATAACAGAGTGGCATTGATTGGTGAAGGAGAAAACTTAGACAAATGAGAAGATATTGAGGACGAAGCAACAAACTTCCTGCACTAATCTGGGAGCAAAAGAGCAAAATTTCCCCATGCCCCTTAGATAGCTTGTTGACTTTGATCATGTTAGCTTAATGCTATGTTGCCTCCGTCGGCCAACAAAAAAAGCCTCTGACCGCGAGACAGCATCCGAATATGCAATGCGACACAAACGCTGTCCCCCCTCCCAAAAAAAAAATTAAATAAATAAATATATTCCCGCCTCACTGCAACGCCCACGATAAACAGTCACTTAGAATCAGTGCATTTGATCTAACCATTTTGGAATAATCAATGCTGCTCCAGAATTGGTGTTGCGGCTCCCTGTTTCCTCCTTGTGATCTTTTGCTGAAATAATTCCACACTCAAACAAACCTGTGTGGG